AAAACTTTACTTGTGTGTGATATTAAGATATTGTTCAATAATTTCCACAATCTTTTGGATCACTGTTCTTTGGAATGGACACAAATATGGATCTTTTCAGTTGGATAGCCAGGTGGCTTTCTTTCAAATTTCTTGGCATAGACAAGTGTGCATTTCCAGTATGGCATCCATTTCCTGAAATATCTCAATGAGTAGTCCGTCAATTCCTAGAGTCTTATTTTTTGCTAATCCCTTTAATGCGGCTTGGACTTCTTCCTTCAATACCATCAGTTCTTGATCATATGCTACCTCCTGATATGGTTGAATGCTGACCTATTCTTTTTGGTACAATGGTGACTCTGTATTCCTTCCATCTTCTTTTGATGCTTTCTGTGTCATTCAATATTTGATGGTAGAATCTTTCAGTACTGCAACTTGAGGTTTGAAATTTTCTTCAGTTCTTTGAGCTTCAGAAATGCTAAATGTGTTCCTCTCTTTTGGTTTTCATACTCCAGGTCTTTGCACATTTCGTTATAATACTTTACTTTGTCTTGTTGTTATGTGCCATCAAGTCGTTTCCGACTCATAGCAACCCCATGCACAGCAGAACGAAACACTGCCCAATCCCGTGCTAGCTCCATAATCCTTGCTGTACTTGAGCCCATTGTCGCAGCCAGCATGTCAGTCCATCTCGTCGGAGGCCTTCCCCTCTTTCGCCGACGCTCCATCCTACCAAGCGTGACGTCCTTCTCCAGGGAATGGTCCCCTCTGACAACATGACCAAAGTAGGTGAGACGAAAAGTAGGTGGCCATTCTCACTTCCAAGGAGCATCTCGGCTGCACTTCCTTCAGGACAGATCTGTTAGTTCTTTTGGCAGTCCATGGTACCTTCAGCATTCTTCGCCAGCACCACAACTCAAAATGGAATCAGTCTTCTTGAGCTGCTTACAAATCTTCTGTTCAGCTCTACACCATCATTTCTTCCATCTGTTTTAGCTATTCCATATTCAAGGGCAAGTTTCCGAGTCTCTTCTGATGTGCATTTGGTCTTTTCTTTCTTTCCTGTCTTTTTAATGTTTTGTTCGTGTATGGTGTCCTTTTTATCATCCCCAAACTCATTTGATTTTTGGTCATTAGTGTTTAATGTGTCTAATCTACTCTTGAAGTGGTCTCTAAATTCAGGTGGGATATACTCAACATCATACTTTAGCTCTTGTGGTCTCATGTTAATTTTCTTCAGCTTCTACTTGAACTGCTTATGAGCAATTGATGGTCTGTTCCACAGTATGCTCCTGGCCATATGGTGACTGATGAGGTTGAGCTTCTCCATTGTCTGTTTCCACAGATGTAATCTATTTGACTCTTGTATATTCCATCTGGTTAGGTCCACGTGTATAGTTGCCATTTATGTTGTTTAAAAAAGGATATCTGCAATGAGTAAATCCTTGGTCTTGAAAATTCTGTTATGCAATCTGCTTTGTTGTTTGTTTCACCGAGGCCATATTTTCAAATACTGATCCTTGTTTCCAGGTTTTGCATTCCAATCACCAGTAATTACCAATGCATCTTGATTGTATGTTTGACCAATTTCAGAGTCCTTACATTGGGGGAAAGAAAATCTTCATCTTTGGCTTTAATGGTTGTTGCATAAAGTTGAGTAATAGTCATATTAACTGGTCTGTCTTGCAGGTATATGGATACTATCCTATCACCGACTGCACTGGACTTCAGGATAGATCTTGAAATGTTCTTTGTGATGATGAATGTCATACACTGTTCTTCAGTTTGTCATTCCCTGTGTAGTAGATCAGAAGATTATTTGATTCACAGTGGCCAACACTGGTCAATTTCAGCTCACTAATGAGCTGAAATTTTATATGTTCCATTTCATTTTTGATGATTTCCAATTTTCCTAGATTCATACTTTGTACATTCTATGTTCCAATTATTAATTGATGTTTTCAGCTGTTTCTTCTCATTTTGAATCATGACTACATCAGCAAATGATGGTCCTGAAAGCTTTACTCCATCTACATCACCAAGGTTGACTCTGCTTTGAGGAGGCAGGTCTTTCCCACTTCTGTTTTGAGTGCTTTCCTGAGGGGCCCATTTTCTGGCACTCGATCAGACAGTGTTCTGCTACTATTCATAAGGTTTTCATTGCCATTAAAAAAAAATGTCTTAAGAAGTAGATTGCTTAGCTTGTCTTAGTCTGGAAGTTCCATGAAACCTGTCTGACCCTACTGGTATTTGAAAATACTGGTGGCATAGCTTCCAGCATCATATCAATATGCAAGCCACCACAGTATGACACAAGCAGACAAGTCATAGTTTACAGATTGTTGTTGTTGTTGTTGTTATGTGCCGTCGAGTCGGACCCGGCTCATAGCAACCCCTCCTTGGGTTTCTGAGGCAGTATCACTATGGAAGTAGATTGCCCAACCTTCTTTCCGAGGAGTGGCTGGTGAGTTTACAGATTAGGAGAGGGAATTTGCCTTCCAGATATTAAGTTATGTTCTAAATCCTCTGAAAACAAAGTAGTATCAGATCTAGTAGTAGATCAGAGGGCTGAAATACCCTAGAAAAAGACCCTAATAGGGGAATTTATTTTATCATGAAGGTGGTATTTCAGTTCAGTGAATAAAGGAGGTTATGCATTGGGAAAGGAGCCCTGGTAGTGCAGTGCTTAAGTGTTCACCTGCTAACCTGAAGATTGGTGGTTTGAACATTGTCTCTGTGGGAGGAAAGGGCTGGCGCTCTGCTCCCATCAAGATTACAGCCCAGGAAACTACATGGCAGTTCTACTCTGTTCTAGTGTCACTATGAGTCTACTGGTGTTCTCAGGCTTGGTCCCTCACCAGCAGCATTAGCACTTTATGAGAAATGCACCTTCTCAGCAGGGGTTTGAACCTGAACAAACTGGTTCAAAGTCCTGCTGGAAAGCAAAACAGTGGTGTTTTCTGAAGAAGAAATTCTGCCTCCAGACTGACATGGACTCCTGCCTGAGAATTCTCAGGCTACTGGGCTGCCTCACACGTGTTAGACTTGCTGGCCATGCTCCTCCTGGTTGTTTCTCTGGCAAACGCTGCTTCATATGACATACTATTTACTGGTACTCTCTTGCTTAACAGAACAGAATCTCCCTTTTTGTTCTTTGAAGTGTTTTGCACTTGAGTTCTATTTTGCTGGTATTAAAATTTCTCCCTTGGCTTTGTTTTGGAGCATCTCCTCCTAACGTATCTTTTTCCATACTTTAATTTTCCATTACTGATATGCTTTCCCTATGTTTGGCAGGGGATGGGGAAAGAATGGGAATGGAAAAGCATTCCCAGTGCTGTGTTCCACCCGCATCCAAGGAAACTCTCGTCTACTCTGTCACTAAACTAAACTCTCACTAAACTAAAGCTATAAGTGAGACCAACTGAGCAAAACTTGGCAAAAACTAGACAAGAATGTCTTTGGTTGCCTCCTCTGAAGCCCTCAGTAATGCATATGACTGGCACCTTTGTCAACTGTATGGTCATGTAACACCAATTGTCCACAGCCAGAACTCTGACATCCTGTTGTATTACATGTAGATGGCACATAAAGCCATCCCCTCTGAGCCTTGGTTTGTATATCCAGGGTTCCACTCAACACCTGTGGTCTCAAAGGTAACTAAAACTCAGTGTGTTGGATGTCACTGAGAAGACAAGTAAGACAAGAAAAACGTGCACTAGATTCAGCAACACAGGACTAAATATGAGTGTTTTCCATGAAATGGGCAGGTGGAGGGAGAATGAACGAAAGCAAGGGAGATGGTAAGATGCTGACGCCTCCTTGGAGAAGCATGGCCCCTGAGGGGGGTCAGAGAAGTGGTGGGATCTGGAGGGGGATGTGGAGGTAAACGGGGCTTTCTTGTTTTTGTGAGAGAAACTGGAATGTATTTGCATGTTCATAGACATGCCTAAGTGATGATGCACTTAAAAGTGAGGCTAAGTGAGCATACGCTTTGAGAATGCAGGAAGGAGTGGGCTTTGGTTCAGCAGAGGAGGAACTGCCTTCCGTGGGTGCAGGGAGACTGCCTGCCTGATTCCAGGAGGGAAGGTGGAAGGCGGGACTAGAGGCCTGAGAAGGCCTGTAATGAGTCTCTTTGGGGAGTGGGTGACTCCGAGGACATGGTCTGGGGTTTAGAGCGGAGCCATCCAGCCTTGTTGGGTGATGTTTCTGCAGCAGTGGTAGAGGACAATGTTTAGGGTCCAGTGGGTTGAGTTTTTTCAGGGAGCGAGAGAGGAGAGTACAGTCCACTAGATCACTTGCTGAAGACTGAATGTGAGGATGGAGCAGGAGGGAAGGGCAGGGCAGTGAGAGAGTGGTGGGGTCCCACTGGACAGCCCTAGGTTTTGAAACCCAGCTTCAGAGCTTGGCGGCTTCTTGTGATGACCCAAGTCAGTGTGTGGCTAGGGACCAATGCTGTACATGACTCTGCCGCCGTTTAAACAACAACAACAACAAAAAAACAAACTCTCTGCCGTCCAGTGGATTCGACTCATAGCGACCTCTCCTTGGGTTTCCGGGGCGGTACCACTAGGGAAGTAGATTGCCCAACCTTCCTTCCGAGGAGTGGCTGGTGGGTTTGAACCGCCAGCCTTCTGGTTAGCAGTCAGATGCCTTAGAGCTCCTCTGCAGCCGGTCAGTGCCTACGTTATCAGAACATGAGGTCAAACACAACTCCTAGGAATGAATACAAGCACCGATAATAGTTAATACCTCAAAGACCAGGCTAAACGCAGTTCAGGAACCGCTGGAAAGCCGGAGTAAAGAGAGCTGAGTAAAGTACCGAGAATTAAGAGGACAAAGAGATAAAAAAAAAAAGAGACAGGAAATAATTATGAGAAGAGGCAGAGGAGATCGAATGGCGGCTAACTTTCCAGAGTTGTCAGATGCAGGCAGCCCAACATGGTTTGAGGAGTGAAACACGCCGAGGCATATCAAATGTTAACTGCACCGTACTCAACAGAAAGAAAAATCGCCGGAAGGGATCAGGTACCAAAGGTCGGCTCCAGCTGCAAACCGCGGGGCAGGAGGGAGCTCTCCTCCGACCCGGCTGACTTGGGGATGGGGCTCCTCGCGCCACGGACCCAATCCCATAGCTGGGAGACCGCGCGGGATCCCGCGCTGGCCCTGTGGGCAGAGCCGGGCCTCCCAGCGTGCCGCGTGCAGTCGGCGGGACTGCGGTT